GGTCTCTGACAACACTTAGAATATCTGGTCTGCCACTGCAGCCCCTGGAAGCCCTGACTGCCCACTCTAGTGTTTTGCTGCAGAGGACTTTGTTAGAAACAAATGAGGCCCAGAAAGTCATCTTTGGGTTTTTAATGTTTCCATAAAGCATGATCTTTAATGCTTTTCATTTCTTTTTTTGTTAATTGTATGTAGAAGTACAATTGATTGTGTTGATTGACCTTGTACTCAGACTCCTTGCAAGACTCGCTTTGGATTTTCTGTGCACACATAAGGTGATGTAAGCAGTGCCATTTCTTTCTCTTCTTTTGTGTTTTTCTGGATGAGTTTGCACAGCCATCCTGCTGCTGAGGACCCTGTCAGTGCCTTACCCCAAACCACCTGAGGGCGCTCTCCTAGATGTGAGTCCAGCCTGCCCTGCAGACACAACTCAGACCAGGCCTGACTCCACTGACTCCATCAGCTCCTCCCTCTGTCTCACCCTCTGTGCATTCTTCATCCTTCCCCCAGCCGCTCTCCCTCCCCTTCCGTCCCCTTCTGTCTCTTGTCACCTTCACCTTTTCCTTTTCTTTGGTGTTAGCAGTTTTTTTTTCTCTTCTCTCCCCACCCTGTTTCTTTATTAGTTATCAGCTTTTAAAGTTTATGTTTCCTTGGTTTATGTTTCTTCTCAGTTTTCAAAATAGACGGTTTAGGGACCTTTTATTTATCTTTCTGTGGAAAAGTATGCTTTTTTGTGTGCGTTGCTTGCTAATCTTTAGTAAAAACTTTCTAAGTAGTCTACAGAGCAAGGATGAATGGATGCTCCCGGCAAAGTGAATTAGGCATGGAGCCCAGCAAAAGGGATCAAGGCCAGAATCCAGTGGCTTTCTGGCCAGTGACTGAGTGTGGCTGAGTCCTCCCGTGTGTCCACTTGGCTCTGCCGTGGCCCTCTCTCCCTTTTTCTGCTACTGCCAGGATAATCACTTTAGGGTCTTTCGTGAGCCTCTCTGTGAGACTCCAACCAGCCTTGTCCTCTGCTGGGAGGAGCCATGGGATCCTGAAGGGGTGAGCTGTCCCTTAGTTGTCCTGGCTGTGCACTACCAGAGCTTACTAATAACCTGTGTTTCCTTATCTACAGACAGAGTATCTGGTGATTAATGTATGACTTTATAATATAGAGCAAATGAATCCCTTCAACTCTATTAGTCCTCCTTTTCCCCACATGGCATATTTAGTATAGTTCTGATGTTCATTTTGTCTACCCGTGACAGATATTGAGAATTACATATATATGTAGCTGAGGATAACCTTGAACTTCTGATCCTTCTGTCTCCTCCTCTCAAGTATTGGGATTAAAGCCTTATGCCATTAGGCCCAATTTTATAAGGTAGTTAAGGATTGAACTCAGGGTTCTATGCATGTTCCAGCAAGTTCTTCGCGAGATCCTTGATACTAATCCAGAATCTGTTTAGACCATCCAACTAATCAGTTGAGTTCCGCATAAAGCCAAATCTCAAAGAACATACTTTATCTGAGGGCATCAAGTCCCTTCTCCCAATTTCTTACTCCATGCAATGACACACGAGTTCATACAATGACAGAAGAAGAAGGGAACAGGCAGGCTGAGCCACAGATTATTCTGAAGCAAGCCTGCTGGTAAACTGCTCCTGTAACTTGTCTCTTTCTTCCCCACACCCGTAGCCAGTCCCGAGGAGACCAGGGCTAGCAGAACAAAGTGCTGTTAACAGTCCCCAAACCTGGGAAACATCCGTGGGAGAAGGAACTCAGAAGCAGCATCAAAAGCAACCTAGCACTGACACCCCCATCCTATAGCCTGTAAAAACACAAGGACAGACCTGGGTAGATGCTTCGGTGGCTAACAACGCGACTGGCTACTCTTCTGGGGGACCTGGGTTTGACCTCTAGTACCCACATGGCAGCTCACAACTATCTATAACTCCAGTCCCAGGGGATGCAATGCCCTCCTCTGGCCTCAATGGGCACCAGGCATGCACATGGTACACAGGCATACATACAAGCAAAACACCTATACACATCAAATAACTCTTAAAACATGGCCAAGTGTGCATGCACACACACACACACACACACACACACACACACACATGTGCAGGTTCACAAGCATGGCATTTCTGAAACCTATATGCACCATCTCAATACTGTTGGTGCTTTTCCGGCTCTGTGGGACGAAGTGCTGCCAACCACTGAACTGAAAAGTGTTTGTTTCCTGTGCAGGAAGAGAGTGGAGGACCAAGGGGCTTTCACAGTCCTCTGCTGCC